CCAGCGCATATGATCTATTTGCAATGGATCGATCCTAGACTAATCCAAGATTTGCAATTTGATATTTGGTGGTTACCAAGTGGAAAACTTTGTCAACTGAGGTTGAGCTTTTTGTATAGGAAGAATGTGCGCATTCTGTAACAGATGAATTTTTGAACTTAATGTTCGAGTGCGGCCAAGTGGAAACACCCTGTACACACGGCCACACGGACATGTGCAATCCTACAGGGCGGGGGCCCCTGGGCGCTTCGCGCTGGGGCCCCGCCCAAAAAACACGTGTTATTGGAATGCCCAGCCTATTATGATATTCGTGCTGAAGAGGGATTCAATAATCAACAGAGCATGTTGGAGGCCATGAAATGGGAGCCGGTACGTCTGGCGAATATGTTGGAACGTATGTGGGCTCACCGCAATTCAGTTATCCCCTTTGGGCGCTTGTCTAGACTGATAGTGCGGTGCTTCCTGTTCTCCGTGGCTGTTAGGCGTGTAGATATTGCCCTTGGGCCTTCGGCTCGTATGGGTAGTTTTACAGGTAAGGGGTCACGCACCCGCAACCATGTAAAACAAACAAACAAACAAACAAACAAACACACACACACACACACATGTATGGTCACTGTCCCTGTTGAGTCACAAGGCTCAGGGCACTTCTCTTCCTGCGCCTTTTGCAAGCCAGCTCCCACAATCGCCTTGGACGATCTGGTCAATGATCGCGCCTTGCTCACCTTACGCTTTCGGTTAAATGCTACTAAAGGTGAGAGACTGAACAAAGTGTTCGAGGTCATCGTAGGCGGATGTGACGCAACGAGGTCTTCATAGTAATCTCCATAATGCTTTTAAATGTTTCCTTTGGCTCCCGCTCATCCCTATCATGATTGCCTGTCGGTGGCCAGGTGGTCTTGGGGGGGATGGGGGGCTGTTGGGGGGGCTGTCGGTGGCCAGGTGGTCTTGGGCACTTTACCCCCTCTCCTGCCCCTGTCCTTGGAAAGTTTTAGGCCCACATGCTTGCAAGTGGGCTGTGTGGCTTTTCAAGTATGACAAGTTGGGTGTCAGCTTCCTCGAAGCCGGAAAAAGGGCGGGCCCCCCCTGCATCCGTACAGGCCGGTAGCTAGCGTGGCACGTGTGACAATTGATGGGTAGTGTCAACGCGGTGGGAGATGTGCTTTGTTGCAGCAGTGCTGATAGTGTGAGAGCTAAGCTTGCACCGGCGGAATCGTCGGCACCCTCTGCGGGCTCCACGTGAATCGCATCCATCCCAGGTGCATGCCGCATGGACAGTGCGGCAGACCGCAAGTCGGAATGCCCGTGCGGGCAAATGGTAACGCAAGCTGGGTGAATTTCGGTGCTGTCTGTGATGTTTATCCCCGAAGCGCCAGTGGCCTCAGCAATCCGCCCCACAGCCGCGGGCTTCATCGGGGCACACCGCAAGTCTCCGGAGGCCCTGAGCATGGGCTAAAGTAAATGTACAAATGAGCAGCTTGCGCATTTCATAGAGAAATGAAAGCAAATTTGTCGGCCTGCTGGTGGCAAGTCGGAATGCCCGTGCGGGCAAATGGTAACACAAGCTGGGTGTTCAAGTTATCATACGCTGTCATCTCGGAAATCAATGATGAGAGACACAGCACCTTTTTGAGCTTAATTTAGCCCGAGAGGCGTTGATGTGACTATGAGCTCGGTCAATTGAGGCAGCCAAAGTTGTTTGTGCTCATACGATTTTTGTTAGCTACATGCGAGATACCTTGCAATAGAGAATGCTACATATTACCGATAGCGCCTTTCATCCAGGCGAGATATTATGTTTGGTCCGTTACATACACACACACACACACACACACACACACACACAGACACAGACACAGACACAGACACAGACACACAGACACACAGACACACAGACACAGACACAGACACAGACACAGACACAGACACACACACACACACACACACACACACACGGACATGGGCAATCCTACAGGTCGGGGCCCCCCTGGGCGCTTCGCGCTGGGGCCCCGCCCAAAAACGTTTGTTCTGTTGCATTGGTCTTATAGTGCAAGTTGCCCACACATTCCTACCTGTTGCTACAGAAAACTACAAGCAATTAACGAAGTCAAAGAAGAATGCCAGTATGGAGAATTAAGCATCTGAATTGGTGATTACAGTCGAGTTGTACCATTTGTCCCCCCCATTTAAACTGGCAAGGGTTCCTTTCCTCGGCTCACTATCACTTTTGTTAGTATTATTCTGATGGCACATGCATGGCAAAGTGGAGGATCCTGATGGTTTGTTCGGTGGGGGTGTTTGGTGGTTGTGTGGTTTAAATGTGTAAAGTGGATGTAGGTTTGATGATGGGCCCCTTGGCATTTACATGAATTCGCAAATTTTGCAGTAAGTTTGTGCATAAGTTGGATAAACCGATTATTAGAGTTTAGAATTGAATAAATGTATTAATGCTAATAACAATCACTAATTGGCAAAGCCCGTAGTGCCCATTCTTTCTCAGGGCGAGCAGCCCACAGTGGAACAACCCACCACCAACATCTTTGCACCGAATTTTGTAGCATGAAATGCAAGGATGCCAGGAAGTAATTGTTATGATCTGGAGCATCCCAGCAGAACCGCCTCTTTAAAAAACATGAACAACCTGTGTCGGCTTCCTTGAATCCGGAAAAAGGGTGGGGGCCCCCTGCATCCGTACAGGCCGGTAGCTAGGGCGGCAGGTGTGACAATTAATGGGTAGTGTCAACATGGTGAGAGCTGTGCTTGTTGCAGCAGTGCTGATGCTGTGGGAGGTATGCTTGTCAGAGCACGGGAGGCAGGAAGCCGGGGCTCATAACCTGTTGAACAGACGGTGTCTCACTGGAACCTAGCAGACACGGCTAAGAGTCATTGGCCATTACACGCAGTCTGGAGGTCCGCGACCTGCCACCGACAGCCCCTTGCTTGGGCATAAACGTATGAGTCTGAGGTGCCGTTACCGGCATACAGCAGGGGCTCGGCCAGCAAGTCCGCGGTCCAGGCCAGCTGCTCAACGCTCAGCAGACACAATCGCAGCTTGCCAGTCTTCAGCCTGTTGGTTTTGCAGTCTGGTGCCGCAGTCCAAACACACACGGAAAACAGCACTGCACAGCACCGTATGCACTGCTTACGGTGCCCCTTCAGGCATTAACCTGCCCATTCGGGCGCCTGCCCACGCACCCTTGGCGCCCTCCTAGCTCAACACACTTCCTCTAAGCCCTCAGCATTTTTTCCATTTCCCCCTCACACGGTGGTCTGGTGATCTAAGTGACGCGCAGCACCGTGCGGCAGTGCACGAACTTGATTTCGCCCAGTGCCTTGGTGAGAATGTCAGCCACCATGGTGGTGGTGGTGCAATAGCTGGGCTTAACCTCATCGTGCGTGGTCGTTTCTCGCACGATGTGGTGGTGCACATCGATGTGCTTGGAGCGCACCGACGTGATGGGGTTGTTGCCGAGGCTTGTGAATCCAGCTGGATGTTGACGGCGCCTGGTGACAGGTCCAGGTCGCCACCAGCTTGCGCAGCCACATAGTGCCTCGTGCATGGCTGCCGTGGCGGCCTGGTACTCCACGGACGAGGCAGCCACGGTGCGCTGCAACTGGCTGCTTTAGCTGACCGCTGCACTGCCGAGCATGAATGTGTAGCCCATGGTGGACCAGCGGGTGGCTGGGTTGCTGGCCCAGTCCGTGTCGCTGTACCCACCGAAGTTGCTGGTGTTGCTGCTGCTGTCACAACGGTACCACAGCCTGAGTGTGCGGGTGCCAGATAGGTAGCACAGCACTCCCAGCACGAGCCCCATGTGGGCCTTGGTGGGGGCGGGCATGTGTCGCACGAGCATGCTCAGAGTGTGTGTGATGTCCGGGTGTGTGCTGATGGTGAGGTAGTTCAGTTCGGCCATCAGTGCACGGTAGTCACTGCCATCAATCACTGTCGTCTGGGTGTTGCTGGCTGGCAGAGCATGCGTGCCCTGAGGCAGCGGGGTGGCGTGCAGCTTGGCGTTCTCCAGGCTGTGGTGCTGCAGCAGCTGCTCCACATAGCGCCACTGTGTGAGCACGGACAAGACGGGCTGCTGGTTTTCACACATAAGCCTCCCGCACAACAGCCCGTCTATCACCGCATGGAGTGAGCGTGGGCACTATGCATGGATGTGGACCTGCAGGCGCCGACCGACATCACCGTCTATGCCCTCGGCACCACGGGCAACTGAGCTGGGGGGGGCCAGGCTGCAGGTAGCAGCGCTGGCAGAAGTGCCACCGCCATCCCCAGCACCTGTGGTGGCAGCACCGCCGGCAGCCGCACCAATGGAGGCCAGCTGGACAGTGACAGCAACGGCAAAGGGCAGCCAGGCAACGGCAGGCCCAGGGCTGCTGAATGCTCAGTCGCCGAACTCACGGCAGCACAGCACCTGCGCTGCCAGTACAGCCACCTTGGTTACCGTGTGCTGGAGCAGCTGATCAGCAAGCAGCTGGTGCAGGGACCACAGGTCACTCCAGCGGCACTGTGCCAGGTGGTGGAGGCCGTCTGCGAGGCCTGTGTCACCGTGAAGGCCACCGCAACCGCCCACCCCAGCCACAGCAACTGGCTGCAGCACGACCTCCAGTGCGTGTGTACACTCTGACCTGTGCGGGCCCATGCCGACCATAGGCCGAGGGGGTGCACGCTACTTGCTGACCTGCTGGACAGTGCTGTGGGCGAAGTCCTGCAGGACATGGTGACATAGCTGGAGGCCCGCCACCTGAACCATGCACGGGTGCACATGCAGCACAGCGACAACGGCAGTGAGTACGTTGCCGAGCAACTGGAGCAGTGGCTGCACCAGCACGGCACCGCACACACCCACTCGGTGCCGTACACCCCGGAGCAGAACGGAGTGGTGGAGCGACTCAACCAGACGCTCCTCGACCGTGTGCGGGCGATGCTGCACGATGCAGCACTCCTGGTCAGCTACTGGCTGGAGGCTGCACAATAAGCTCTTCATTCCTTTTATCTTGAGCATCTTCTGTTTCTTTATCTGTTGAACTTCACAAACATTGTAACTGATCAGCGTTATGGGTCACTTTGGCGAAAACTCTGGTCTGTTCCTTCGTTTCTTGATACAAAGTCAATCTCATTTCTTTGTATTGATTATTCATCCCCTACCATGCAGCATGCTGAAGGTTACATCCTGCTGCAGGTTCGTGAATTTCCTGGTAGTTCGTGGGGCAGATCATAGCTCACGATGTGGTCACTCTGCAAATGCCAGGCAACCATCGGGACATACCTTTCTACCGTTGTCCTATCGGTGCTGAGCCATAAAAATTTAAAAGCCTCGAAAAGGCAAGCAAGGGAAACGACCGGTGAACAGAATGACCGCCCGAGCCACTGCCGTGTAAGCCCAAAGGACCATTACACGCCTTTTAATCGTCAGTCTACACATCAGTTCCTCTCTTGAAAGCTGCAGCAGTACTTACCGAACGGAAAGCATTAGCAGAAGATTCTGCGTATACACCATGGACCACCCAGCACCGGTAATGGTCCCCAGTGCCACCAGGAGATTATAAAAGAGCCGCATATAATTTACCAGCGAAGTTACAGCAGTACAAAGTCCGAAGACAGGAGAATGATTAGGTTCTCACGGATAAGCATACACACGCCGCATAGATCATAGGACGCAAGTTGCAAAGGATAGCCGTCATATGCACATCTACGGCATGCATCACTACTACCCATGCCAGCGTCCCTCCAAGATGTCACTTGCGTCACACCAGTCCACGCTGCCCGAGAAGTTCTGCCTCATGTAAGCGACCTACACGACTTGGAAGATAAGGTAAAAGCCCAAGACTGCCAAGTAAAACGTGAAATCCATACCCTTCGCCGTTAAGATCCCAGACACCATTGGATTGTCATGTTACTCCGCGGTTGCAGCAGCACCGGCCTTGGACGAAAGGATAATCCCAACTGCACGTACAGGAAAAGTGATCAACTATCGCACTTACTCAACATCTCCCATTCTTAAGGCGTTGGTACTTACCAATCAGACCATACAGAGCCAGCGCCTCAGCGAAAATGAGGATCAGAATCATACCTACGAACAACTTCGGTTGCTGCGCGTTCGCCCTACAAGGCACAAGTATCTTGTATCAAAAACGCTATCAACCTTTTGTAGAAGCTTTGTGATAACATACCTGACGCCAGCATCACCAACAATCCCAATAGCCATGCCAGCAGCCAATCCCGCCAGACCGCAAGCCAACCCAGATGCAAGGTGAGCGAAACCATCAAAGAGCTGGTACTTTACCGGGTTCACTGCACGAATTAAGACAGTTCATTGGCTCTGCATCAAAAAGTCTTCGGGCAAACCGCAAGTCTCACCGCCGGTAGAGATGATCACAGCGATAATCAGACCGTAAATGCCAAGCACACCAGCCATGACCACGGGCACGATGCTCTTCATAACCAGCTCAGGACGCATGACACCCATAGATGCAATGCCCACGCCAGACTTGGCTGTGCCGTAAGCGGCGCCCATGCCTGCGGGCCACCATATGAGAAGACCTCAAACAAGAGGAGGCTGAAATGAACAAGAATTCCGACCCATACGTAAGAGTTCAACGGGACCTTTATTTGTGCTCAAGCAGTCAAGAGGGCTTGTTTTTGTGTCCAAGAAAACAGCTTCCACCAACTTACATGAAAACACCAGCGCCGCAGCAGCGCCGATGAAACCAAAGAATGGAGCAGTAGCACTAGCATCGCTGCCCGAGCTGGACTGAAGGAGAGCACGGTAATGGTCAGCCATAGTGCGACTTGGGCAGGATGAAAGCGACCAAATCCAGTTGATAAATTTCAGGCCAGAAACCAACTAATAGACAAATACAACTGAGCAACACAGCATTGATATGATAAGGCACAGATTAGCTGAATTAAAAGGAGGCCAATGACGTACGGCAACCTCCCGCATTTTTTCAATCCTATCTGCTGCCGACCGTTCTCATGTAAACATTTGCACTTTTGCACACACCAGCTACTCAACATGATGTCTGGAGGAGATTGTGGGCTTACTCAAAACGGAGTGGCCTCTGTATGTTGACCGCGGGCTATTATTCAAACCATGCTAGTCCTTGACGCTTAACCTTGAAGTTGCTCGTGGCCCGCTACGTGCATTTGAAGGGCACATTTCAGGGGCAAACATTTTGGAAGGACTTAGGCTTTCCGCACGATCTGTATCCTGGCTCCGTCTTAGCGGTGAGCAGCTAGAGTGTTCTCTAATGCATGATGCTTTTGCTGTGAGGTTAGAGAAATACCGTTTCATTTGGCGCTGTAGTACTAAGGACCGACGAAATTCGCTAATTGCCCAGCAAACATGAACGGATGCTAACAAAGATTGGAGCCAGAGCACTGCATAACTGGAGGCATGGAAAGGTGGAACCTGAGAACTGCGAAACTCGAATATGACGCAATACATAGAGCGAAAGCTTTACTAAGAAAAAAATTAATCTGCATTTCAGGACACCAGAAAATACCTTTCAAAACCATGTAACTGTACCTCATGACAAGAGAGCTTGACTGAATGGTGCCGTACATGCACCCCTTTCACTTCTTTTTACGACCTGCCACATATCGGTGCTCCCGTTCTGCCATAAGCTTTCCCCTGGGAACTAGTCTAGGCGCTTTCCCAAACAGAAACGTCAACAACTATGGCAGCTGAGAGTACCTCGCGCGAGTTGGCGCTTTACAGCGCCAAGATCGCTGAGCAGTCGGAGCGCTACCAGGATATGGTAGAGGAGATGAAGAAGGTGGCAGTTTTGGCTACCGAACAGGAGCTTTCCGTCGAGGAGCGCAATCTGCTGTCCGTCTCCTACAAGAACTTGGTTGGCTCTCGCCGTGCAAGTTGGCGTATCCTGCAGAGCATTGAGCAGAGCGAGCAGTCCAAGGGGAATGATAAGCGTGTGGCCATGATAAAGAAGTACCGCGCGGTGGTGGAGGGCGAGCTGGACAAAATTTGCCAGGAGATCCTGGACCTGCTCGATAAGTATCTTATTCCTAGCGCCCAGACCACGGAGGCTGCCGTATTTTACTTGAAGATGAAGGCGGATTATCACCGCTATCTCTCTGAATATAAGGTCGACGAGCAGAAAGCGGCGGCCGCAGCGAAGACCTTGCGGGCGTATGAGGACGCCCAGTTGAGGGCGGATGAGCTGCCAACCACCAACCCAATAAGGTGCGTTTCATTGCTCTATTGTAGCCAGGTGCCGTTGGGCAGCGTGATTCTAATTTGTCTCCGCGTGACGTTTCAGGCTGGGTCTGGCGCTGAACTTCTCCGTATTCTACTACGAGGTTATGAACCAGCCAAGCCTTGCCTGCAACCTTGCCAAGAAGGCGTTTGATGAGGCCATTTCCGACCTTGATTCACTGGGCGAGGACTCTTACAAGGACAGCGCTCTCATCATGCAGCTTCTCAGGGACAACCTTACTCTCTGGACGTCGGAAATGCAGGATGAGGACAAGAACCGCACTTGAACTCATGTTGAGTAGTTTTGAACGGGTGTAAGCTATTGGCCTATGCACAACCTTGTTGTCGACGTACCGTCACCAGATTAGATTGTTGCTTTTCGGGTTCATGCTGTCTCTGCATGCTCACAAGGACGGTTGTGGTCCGTTTTTAGTCCTTTCTGCACTTTTAAGGGATGTGATGTTTCTGCGAAGGCGCAGAACCCGGTGGTATAGGGTTTCATCGTGTAGTGGGAATTTTCGGGCAGAGAACGCTTCGCACGTGGTTGCTTTCCAGAAAGCGGTGAAGTCTTTATGAAGATGGCTTGCGACTTGGCCTTTAATGGGTGGTATGCTCGTGTAACAAGAGGGCGTCATCCTCCAGTATGATTGCATTTAGTCAATATGTCCGGTTTGGTCTTCTTGGGAGCAGGTTTACAGATTCGTTGCGGCAATATAACATGATGCGGCCACGCAACAGCTCACTGCAACTCCGCCAGTGAGTTAATGTTTGTCCTATCGTCTTGTCATTACGCTGGTAGTGTACATGATTTTGCTTGATGAATTGACACGTCTGGGCTGTGATATTGTCAAGTTCCCTATAAACCCGGCATAAGTCCATGAGCCAGTTGCAAGATGCGCAGGCAGCACACGGAACCCTACGAACATGTGCCATTCGATAGTGGTTACAGCCATCCAGAAATTCTCCCTGGCCACAGCATAGGGCACCGCCATAGTTTTTTGTACACTATATGGCCGCCATAGTACTGTATACGCAAGAACTCATTGTCAAAAGCATGTAAAGGACTTCACGAGACTCAAGAACTTACACATTTAAATGTTCCTGCCAACGCACGTGGTCAGCTTGAAAGGGATGAAGGCGGGATCATGGATTTGCACTGCCGTGTATGCAAGCAAACTACATATAATTCGGTCTCCAGAGTCTAACAAACCGTCGAGGCCTAATTGCAGACGCAACAGCTCGGAAATAAGGAATCTTATTGCTGTCAGTGGTCCAAGCCCCGCATAATTTGCAGACCAGCCCTGCAGGGATGGGAAAGGTGAGCTGCAAACACCCTTGCGCCATATCTACTGTTGCTCTCAGGGAGCGCTGAATCCGGCATCAACTAATCTTGAAGAAGCCGTACAAGCCGTCATGCCTCAGGCCATCATCCTTTGGTTACAGCCGCCTGCGAAACCGCTCCAACTAGCTCCATAAGACAATAACATTGTTTGACAAATGCCCTCATCAGGGCCCCGTCCGCACCTGCTACGAACATTCTAGTCTTAAGGACGTTCACGGGGATTGTTATTGTTGTGGTCACAAGCCCAGTAATTAAACTGGCTGCAAGGAATGTGGGAAGATAGTCGTCACCCCCTGTTTGCCGCATTACCTCGTGCTTTACAATGTCATAAGTAGCCACCTGAGATAATGTGAGGAGTGCCGCGCGAGTCTGGGACGTGAGACACATCAGGTCGGAGAGGTAAACACGTGGGAAACAGTTACGGAGGATATGTGTGTGTGTTACATGGTTGGGAGTGCCTGACCCCATACCTGTAAAACTACCCGTACGAGCCGAGGGCCCAAGGGCAATATCTAACGCCTAAAAGCCCCGGAGAACAGGAAACACCGCACATCAGCCCAGACTAGCATCCACAGGGGATAACTGAGTGAACCCACATACGTTCCAACATCCTCGCCAGATGTACCGGTTCCCATTTCATGGCCTCCAACATGCTCTGTTGATGATCGAATCCCTCTTCAGCACGAATATCATTATAGGCTGGGCATTCCAATAACACGTGTTTTCCATCCTCGATTCGGCTATTAGTACCACAACAGCGGCAAAACGCTGCTCCCTGGGGACATGGTACTTGCCCCTTCGTGCTCTGTTTGCCTCCAAAGCCCAGCAACATAAACGAAACTGCATTATCTTACGATGTGCTAAACGAGGAATGAAAACCTTAGCATGTGTTGGCCACATGACGGCTGCAGCTCCTGAAAAGGGCAGCCCCATCCAGTGCTTATACTTCACCATTTGCACTCCCGGTTGCTTCCCATCTGATGGGTACTCCTCTGGCAAGACAGTCAGACGCGCATGGTCCCAGCCGCTCATCAAACGCTCTCTTAGTGCCGTTATCACCGCTCCTTCAGGGAGAGGTCTACTTAACAACCAGTCAACACGCTCCTTTACCCCCATGACTTGTGGTATTCCGCTCCAAACATTGCACTCCAAGAAGGAAAACGGTCGTAACATTGAGGTTCCCCAACCCTCCCATTCCGGGTTGGTCAGAGCATCGGTTATCTCCTGCTGTAAAACTGCATGAGCAATGGATCCCACTTGCTTTTGAAGGTGGTTCCAGAAACGGAGGACCTGTTTCACCATGTAATACTGTAAGGGGAGTTCAGCCAGCTCCGCATACAACAGCCTGTGGGATGGCCGTGCCGTCCCCACTACCTGCCTCATGAAGAAAATCTGCAGCTGGACAGCGCTATCCTTCAAACAGGCTTCGAACATGCCCTCCGCAAGGTTGGCTTTATCCCCCCGCCTTCCCGCCCTGTCCACGACCTCTGCCAGCGCAAAAGGGCCCCACGCCTGGCAGCCATACAACAGAATTGCTCGGACTTGGGCTGCAAAGCACCGCATTCGCACATCGGGGGCAAACAGCTTCACTTTGTCCAGCTTTGCGCTTAAGGAAAACATAGCGGACCGACCTGTATCACATAACTGCTGACGGCACGCACTAAAAGGCCGTTCTGGCCCGTATACCAAGCCCAGATAGCGAGCGCTATTTTTGGCAGGTACGTACCTGGCCTGATAGCCGTAACTGTTGACATCTATCGCTAAGTTCCGACTGCTGGGTGCCATCACATGCAAAAACAAGCCTTTCACACTTTGAGACATTTGGTCCCATCCCAAAGGCTTCGCAAAACAAGTCCACAAGATGTAGCAACTCAGACATTCGCTCTAGTGACGTCGCTAGCAGACTAACATCGTCTGCATACAACAGTAAGGGAGACGCGCTTGCTGTCCACAAGGGGTGTGTCATGCTTACGTACTCCAGCTTCTACAAGGTCATGAGTATCAATCAAATCAGCTAGTGTCTCAATGAAGAGTCCAAACAGCTCCGTAGATAAAGGACACCCTTGCTTCACTCTTTGCTTAGACTCAAACTCTCTTCCCACTTTCTCATTCACCTTATTCACCATGGACACCTTCTTGTACGCTTTTCTCAGAGAATCTAGCATGGGGCCGCTAATCCCCCTCTCCTGCAACCGAAGCCACATATGCTCGCGAGGCACCCTATCAAAGGCCTTCTCAAAGTCAATCTGTACTATTATCAACAGCGGCTGCCCCGCGATCCGATGCCACCTGACCAGGTTGAGCGGTGCCAAAACCCCGCCTGAAACCCGCTTGGCATGGGTGCCGTAGGTCCAGTGTTTCCCCAACACGTACCAGACGGAGGATATGCACCTAGGAAAAGTGCAATAAGCATATTGATTGTTTGTTGGCCCACCATGCTTGGGGCGGCTCCCCGCCACAGCCCTGCCACACCCGACTCCTTGACCACATTGCCCACGATGCCCCAGGTCCCCTGCCGTCGAGAGCCCTTGGCTTGCAGTCTTGTCTTTGGCGGGGACTCGTAACACCGGCCGCTACACCTCCGCTGATAATGCCGACCATAGCCTTGAACCTAAAATCTGCTGGCCCCCGAGGCACTCACTCTCCTGCCAAGGCCTGCCGCCCAGTGATAGGGGAATCCTTGCATGGCCCGTAAAGCCCAAGCCTGCGCATATATTAAATTAATAAATACTCTTGCGTTGCACCCGACTGCATCGGTGGCATGTGCACCACGCTCCAGGTTACAGAAACCAAGTGAACGCGCACAGCACCGTACACCTTTACCGCGTCCAGTGAACATCTTGGCCAACGAAGACACACGGAAGTTGAGGTTACCATGCTAAGGATATAGTTTTTTGAGTCACACGACAGTGTGCCCCCGGGCCTTTTAGCATGAACGTCTTTGTGCACTGGAAGGACGCACTGCCCAAAAGCGTCCCAGTGCTGATTCCACCTACTCCCCTCCGTACAAGAAGCCCCGCGGAACTGCCGGAGGAAGGCCCTTCCATAGGCTTATGATGCCGCCCTCACGCACAATAGAGGTTGCAGTCCGGAACTGCACGAACATCCACGGAGCAGCCAATGGTGAAAAATATGACTTGCCACCTTCCCCAAGCAAACGCATGACGCAACCAGGATTACAAGATGTCAGTAAAAACCTATCCAAGTAGGCGATAGGTCCTCATGCAGAGGTAGCCATGGTCACTAACGTTCTGGACTGTGAGACGCTAGCCCTGGTCAGGAGGTGTAGCACACGTCCCCGCGGCCGCAGGGAGCACGACGCACCAGGCCGGGAAGAGGAATCCCAGGGGCCCTGTGGCCCTGCAATTGCATCCTCATCTTCACGACGTCTGAGCAGCAGGGTGGGTAGCACTATCTCAATAGACAAGTCGGGTGTCGGCTTCCTCAAAGCCGGAAAAAGGGCGGGCACCCCCTGCATCCGTACAGGCCGGTAGCTAGCGAGGCACGTGTGACAATTGATAGGTAGTGTCAACGCGGTGGGAGGTGTGCTTGTTGCAGCAGTGCTGATGGTGTGGGAGCTAAGCTTGCACCGGCGGAATCGTCAGCACCGCCTGCGGGCTCCACGCGAATCGCATCCATCCCGGGTGCATGCCGCATGGACAGTGTGGCAGACCGCAAGCCGGAATGCCCGTGCGGGCAAATGGTAACGCAAGCTGGGGGAAGTTCGGTGCTTTCTGTGATGTTTATCCCCGAAGCGCCAGCGGCCTCAGCAGTCCGCCCCACAGCCGCGAGCTTCATCGCGGCACATTGCAAGTCTCCGAGGCCCCGAGCATTGGCTAAAGTAAATGTACAAAGGAGCAGTTTGCGTATTTCATAGAGAAATGAAAGCAAAGTTGTCGGCCTGCTGGTGGCAAGTCGGAATGCCCGTGCGGGCAAATGGTAACACAAGCTGGGTGCTCAAGTTATACGCTGACATCTCAGAATTCAACTATGAGATACGCGGCACTTTTTGAGATTAGGTTTAGCCCGAGCGGCTGGCCAACGGCTTCGTACGCTAAACCGAGCCATGCGCCTCCAACGGGCTTGCTTGATGGCCCGGCAGGTTTGCAAAAGCTCAAGGCTACATGACACGCGACCGGAGGATGCCAGCAATTGCCATGCCGCGGGGATAGGCTTCACATGAACACAACTATAGCTGAAAAACGCTTAACCCAAGCCTTGAAGGATGGCTTCGGAGCAACAAGGATTCAAAACGTCAAGAGGACAGGTGCAGATGCGTAGCATGGCACATCGTTTTTTCTCTTCTATACCTTGATGGACCTAAGTAGTAAGGCATGTACCGTAGTGATACGAAAGTTTCGCGCCACACCTTTCGCGGGTACCCCAAAAATATAGCTGGAATTTTTCGTTTTGTTACACCAATTCGCGAGGGCTGTCAGTTTTTATGGCACACATTTGTTTACATGAACACACATTTCGCGGGGCTCCAGGGAAGCCACAACAAGGAGCGACAGCGTCAAAGCTCCCAAACTGCTGGACATATCGTTTACTATATTTATATACAATAAAAGGAAGCTGTAACTATATGAAAATTTCAGTTCTGGCGTATAAAAACTCAGTTCTGGCCGTTCTACACCATGTACACGGCGTACAACACATTCGTGCCACACATTTTCGCGACAAGAAAATAATTTTCCCCATAGAGCTTTTTCCACTGTGACACACTTCGTGGCCCAAAACGAAAGGTGTGGCGCGAAACTTTCGTATCACTACGGTACATCGGCTGGTCTGCACTATATGCATATCTAATTGAAATGCGGCTGACAATTCCACTCTGTATGGGGTTTGCTGTCCGCTAGTACATATTTCCAGCAAGCAAAAGCTGCCTACAAGCTGGCTGGGATAATGGCGCCCAAAGCTGTCTCCCTCGCATTTGCGGGACGGAAGCTTACCGGCCCACCGGAGGGCTACGGCAAAAAGAAGCAGGTCCAGGTCGAAAAATGGATTTCTGTCATGCCTCCGCCAGAGGACCTTGACCCGGCGGAGGTCGGTCCTCTTGCAACGGTTTTCGAGGTGAGGTGCACGAATAACAGCTCGGTGGGGATCTGGCTAATGCAAAAGGCGCTCCTCATAGCGGCGATTACGAAAGGCGCAGCAGTGTGCAAACGACACCATGCTCAATGCCTTCCGCAATTATACAGACCCGTATACTCATTTGCGAACGCATCATGTTTACTAACGCAACACAACACAGCCATGGTGCGTATACCTGCTGGCCGTCCTCTTGCATCCATTGAAGCGCGCTTCTACCCCATCCAGGTCGAGAGTTCAAGGGAGTACTTATACGGCAGTCTGCGCGACAGCACGGATGGCTTCTTTGACACGGCGATAGCTCCTCGAGCCCACCCTTTCAGCAGGGCCCCAGATCAAGGACAAGGTATGCGTGGGGGTTAGCATATGCAATAGGGTGGCTGGACGGTTGGCTGCCCGCATCTGCTCGTCCGAGTACGAGTTCATCCATGCAGGGCCCCCCGACCCTGCAAGTCCTTTACAGCCGCAACAACAGCAGCAGCCTTTACCGCCGCCACACGCGTCGTTATTACGCGTGCCACCCAGGGTAAGATCGGATTGTAACGCGCTGTTCGCCAACCAGCTTAGTCCCGTCACAGTGGCCTGCGGTGGACAGGCTAGGGATAAGCGCTGCAGTGTTCTGGAACCTGCCACCCCTCAAACGCCGCTGCCCATGGCTCCCCTCTTGGACTTAAGCTCCTCCGAACACTCCGAAAACCCCTATGCGCAGCCTGCTGCCGTTCCCCGGGACGGCCTTGCCAGCACCTCTCCATCCACATCTCCGGGACCTGCCGTCGCAGCCGCCTCCGCCGCTATGGCTGGCAGTCCCCTTTCAGTGATGCCCTTCGGAAGCAGCGGAAGTGGCTCAAAGGTACAGCACGACATCAAAGCCGACTTGCGGCCCTGGACCAACCCGGACCTGCTGGCCCAAACGCCGGCCCAGACTTTCCCCCGGGAGGAGCCGTATCTGGTCGCAGCAGCAACGGGTGCTGTTGACGATGGCTTCGGCCAGAGAAGTGTTTCTGCCAGCGTGATCCGGCACGTGCCGCTGGATGTGGGTCTTGCGGCGGTCGCTAACATCGCCGGTGAAGGTGACGATGGCGGCGCCTCCGCCAGTGACGCAGGGGTATCCGCTGCAATCCTCCTGGCGCGTATCGAAGCTGCACTGCCGCCGGGCGCCACCGCAGAGGTACAGCAAGCCTGGGAGGTGATTATGTTGTTGCCAAGACCCCACATGAAAACATCGTTGATGGGACCCCAAGCTAAACTGGCTAATAGTGTCAGGACACATCCCTGAAACATGCGAGGACATAACGAGGCGGCGGGGGCCGCAGGGCGAGTAGCATGGCGACCAAGTCACCAAATGGAATATTAAAGCCCAGTTTTATGGGGCGACGCCTCGGGGAAGGGGCCCAGGGTGGCGGCGGGGCGCTTCTTAGAAGGGGCGGATGCAAGTGTGCAGAAGCAGATCCACCATGTTCGAGAGCAAGGTACAAGGCGGGTGCTGGTCGCCGCGTTCACCTCCCCAAACCGCAAGTCTCGTGGGGCCCGGCTTGTGGAAGGCACCAGTAGCGACCCGCCCTTACCAGGTGGTTAGCTGGCTCCGCCGAATGTTCCTGCGTGCCGCGGGATAGTGAGTGTATGTGTGTGCAGAACTTATCCATATGCGGTGGCGAGCCGTGAATAACTGTGTTTCGCAGGAGAAGCTTCGAGCCGCACTGCTCCTGGCCCTGGAGGAGCACCAGGTGCCGCCGGGAGGAAAAGGGACAGGGCGAGGGGGCCGCTGGGATTAGAGGAAAGTGGGATGAACGGCCGCAGGGACGGGGGAAGGGGAGGGAACACAGGACACATACGGCAGCAGGTGAAGGGGGAAAGACGAACCACACACGATTCAAGCTGCTGCCAGGGCAAGAGAGTATCAAACGCAGAACTGACCGAAAGGCGTCCGTGGCGACCGTGGTGAGGGGGAACAGGCAGGCCCAGCTGCACCATTGCCCGCTGCTCCTCAACGCGATAACCTTAAGAGCTGTACCAGCTGAAGCTCCCTTTTCCGACCTGGCACCTGGTTGTTACGATACGTGGAACCGATATGGCTCTGGGTCGGGATTGCGACGTACTGAGTCAGGGTGGGGGTCATGATGGCGCGGGATAGGCTTGGCTCGGCACCACCTAGCTGGACCGCACAGTCCGAGGGGGCCCGTCCTCATATCGAAAGCATACAAGAAAAGTTGGGAAGTCAGCGGTTGAACCTTCCTAAACCTCCCACGCTCGCCTCACCTGCTCTCACGCAGCGGCTCCAAAATGTCATGAAAACGGAACTGGCGGCGGCGCGGGTTTGCACTACGGACGCGAGGAAGGAGGCGCAGGAGCTCGCGGACGACGTGCAGGTGTGGGGGAGCGGACGACAAGCGGATCGGCGCAGAGGGAAGGGCGTTAGTATCATGGTTGCATTGTGTTAGTAATGTCCTTGTATAAACCACTACAACGGGTTTGACTGTCTGCCATGCCTGGACCAGCATTGAATCTCATATTGACCAGGCTGGACCAGCCTGACCAGCATTGAATCTCATGGGATTGCTCGAACTGTGTACACGTGGGCCATTATATCTAATGAATTCTGCACGGCAACTTGCCCCTAGGGGAGTGCATTTCACCTCCACGACCCGCATCACCCGCTGGGGAAAAGATTTAAATACCCTTCGTTAAGGTGACCACTACGGCTTTTGCGGAGTCCATCATGCTATAGAAGTCTCCGGATGGCCATTCGTAGGTTCGGGTGCGCCGCCCATCCATTACTTCACTGCCTCGGCGACAAGGTGGCCTTCTGGTGTTGGATGAGCGCATTCGGGCCGCATATTGGCCATACCTGAGGAATGCCTCGGGTAGAGCCCAGCGGGCCACGCCACAGCGAACAACCCACACAGACACAAAACGCATCCGAGCAGTGCATCCTAGCGTGGGAGCTCAATTTCCTCACCAGGCCTCTACTGTCGTTTCCTTATCTCCTTGCCCGGGGCTGGGCGGGAGATTGTGTGCCGCAGCAGGCCACCAGCCCTGTAGAACCCCCTCCCTTCGGTCCGCTTTTGCCGGGCTCCTCTGCTGCCAAGGGCTCCGACCCATACACCTTGCGATGAGTCCCCTATTTGCCTTTTCCTCCTGCATCCTGCCCCCATGAGGCCGTGACACTTGCCTGCCGCACCTGACCTTCCTTTTTACCAGGCCACTAGACAGCGTGCGCTCAAGGCCGAGGACGAGCTGGGACGGCTGCGAGCGCGGGTGGTCGCGTCCAAGCAGCAGGCGCAGGTCTTGCAGGCAAGAAGAGAGAGAAGGGATAGCTGTGGGGATCTAGATGTTTGGACAGCATTGGTGGTATATTTGGTATATTTGTGCATGGCAAATAGGGTGCTGACTGCGCAGCTGCGGGTAGGCGGGCGGTAGGTGGGGAAGGAGCTGTGTGCACTTGGGTGAGGAAAGGGGTGGACTGCATCTGACACGGGTAAGAGCGGCTCACGAGAAGGAGAGGCAAGACAGGGCGGGACAGGGATTACTAAGAAACACGACTATTTGTGGAGCGCTGCTTGCGCGGTGGTTGCTGTAGGTTACGAGGATTCATGTAAGGAGGTGGGGTAGACATGGCCGCCTTCACGGGTGTAGGGCCTGCACGAGCGGACTTCACGGCTCCAGGATGGTCTCAGTAAATACAGAAATTCAGAATACAGCTATCAGCTAATACAGAAAGCCACTCAGGAGACTACGCTCGACTAGGAAACCGCATGCGGGCCCGTCAATCCGTTGGGTTTTCTGCCAACTTGTGGCGGTTGCGGTTGTTGTTCGTGGCGCTATGGTGTTGCAGTTCTTGCGCGTGCAGCTCGTGGGGACCCCATGTTGTCGCTGGTTCTCGATGCCTTCCGCCTGATTTGTGAAGGGCGAAATTAAAGAGAGCCCAATACAGGGGAGGGGACAGGGGAAGGTTGTGGGGACGCGTTGCTGACACACTTGTATTGGTACCTGTCGGGTAATCGCCCGCACGACCGCTTTGGATACGTTTGGGTGCAATGGATTCCCGCTGAGGCGGGAAATTTAGAATCCCTTTTGTACCTGCCATTCCTCCTTTAAAGCTTAGATTGCGATGGAGGAGGATCATCAGCGGCGGGACAACAAGCTGGCTTGCGCGCAGCGGGAGCTGGCGGCGACGGTGTCACAGCTCAAGGAGGAGTTGGCGAGGGCACATAAGGTTGGGGGGCTCGGGGAGGGCGGCGTGCAAGGGGGACCCGGAATAAGGATGCGGTGAGGGGAGTGGAGCGCGCGCTTTAGGACCGGGTGGTGTCAATGATATCTTGACTTGCGCTTCTACCTCTTCTTCGCACAACCGGCCCTTCCTAGGCCATGGAGGAGTCTGCAGCTGAGGCTGCCGCGGCCCGCTCTTTAGCTGCGGCACTACAGCGGGAGGTGGAGGTGCTGCAGCGGCATCAGCAACAGGATAAGCGGAAGATGGCGGCCATGGTGGGATGGGATTGGGGAAATATATGTTATGCTCTAGGAATCGGTTGAGATGGTGGGGCGGGGGTGGTGGTGGGTGGCAAATGGGGTGCACAGTGGCTGGGCTTTAGATGTGTATGTAAGTCATGTCGAACGCGGTGCTTAGGTACGTATGTGTGTGTATACCTATGTGTATCTCTATACACGCGTGTGTGCCTTCATGGTCCTCCCCGGCTTCTGTCCTCCTCAGGTCCCAATTGCTAGCTCGCCGTAGTGTGTCAGTCGGTATTGCACGCCGGCTCTCAAATTTCCCGCCGCTGCCCCGCCCTGCTGTAGGGGGCTTCCTTGTAGCTGCCACTGTCTCCCAGCTTCCTCCCCTCCAGCTGCTTCCATGTATTTGTCGCTACGCCGGCCCCTCCCCGTCGGGTTTATCCTTCGTTAAACCCTCCTTTGCCGCGAACCCCGACCCTCTTGCCCCGACACATCGCACACCCGCTCCTTTTCCTATACCCTGAGCCCCTGCATGCTACTGCCTTATCCTGCCTGCCTGCCTGCCTGCCTGTGTCTCCGTGCCCACCGGGACTTTGTTTCTCGTCCTGCTCCCCGGAGCCTGCTTGTTCCGTATTTTTCGTTGCTTTGTTTCCTCACTTGTCATCTGATCTCCGTTCGTCTTCTGGTTCCTTCGCCCACCATTTCCATTGTCCCTTATTAGTTCCCATTCGATGGTCCCCCTTTTCCCCGCTGCTTCTCCTCCTGCCTCCGCCGTATGGTGGTTAACCCTACCGCGCATCTACACTCTCTTATGCGCTCTAATCTACACGCTTATCCGTTTCCTCGTTCCATCTCAATGTTTAATCTCCTCTCGTACCTTGCCGTATGTTGCCCCGATTGCTCTTCCCTTCATCATGATTATGGTTACGTCTCCAGGTGAGTCTACTTCTAGTTCGCGTGCTTATGCTTTTGCATTGGCTGCACACCGGTGCTAGCATTTAAGGTCAGCAGCACGTGCTCAGGTTGAGGGCCATCAGCCGCAGGAGCACGTGTCGCCCATGGCGGTATTCGCCTTCTGGCATTGGGCTCACGTCTGGTTTCCTTAAAACCCCGCCCCCATGGACAGGCTGCCTCCCTTGAGGCTGCCCTAGAATCGGAGCGCGGGGAAGCATCTCAGGCCCGGAGGGAGAGAGACACGGTGATCGTGGCGCTACAGGTGAGGCCGGGGATTCTTTGAGTCGCCGACCGGGGGCCCACGGACGGGGGCCCCTCCTCTTGCGAGTGCTCAGTGGTTGAGGCACTGTGTACATGGTGGAGGGTAAGCAGCGGTGACTGGTACGTGCCGAATACACTGTATCCCGCACAGCGTGCTGAAATTTGGGTGGATGAGGATTGAGGAAGGGCGCCATGGCCTAGACTAGGTTTGGCGCTCCATGGCACCCTTCTTAGAAGGGGGGTTGGGGGAACATTATGGATACGATGTCCGTACCCAATTGGTGTGTTGTGGTCCTCTGCTCGTGTCCTGGGCAACAAGTTACTCACTCATAAAACACAATTGCCTTGCCCCTCCGCCATACCTCGAACTCGCCCTGCAATTGGCCGATTGCTGTCAACACAGCACTCAGCAGACACTGACCCGCATCCACACGACTACACCACTAAGCACTGGGTACTGGCGAAACCCGCAGGCAGAGAAGGCAGCTCGAAAGGCGGCAGAGGAATCGGAGCGCGCTGCTTTACGGCTGGCGACGAAACAGGTGCGCTATCAGGGGTCGTGGCACCTCTTTAGCCTTTGCAGAGGGAACGACACTCCGCAGCTCCCCACTCACCATGCACGTATGATGGGGAATGGGGATAGGAGATGCACCGTAGAGAAACGATTATTCGGCAGAGTTGTAGGAGGGCTGAGTGCATCGGCCCCTTTGGAGAAGTCTTTGCCTGGGGTCCGCGCACGCCTGCAGGCGGAGACGCAGGTGGCTGTTCAGGCGACTGCCGCGGCGGCTCAGGCCGCATGGCAGCGTGCGGAGCTGGCAACACAGAGGGCAGCGGTCGCCCGGGCTCCGGACCCCGCGACGGCCGCAGTCGGTGTCACCGTCGTGGCATCAAGGACGGGGACGGAGATGGGGACGCTGACGACATCGCCCGATGTTCCCCGTGGGGGCTCAGGGCGAAATATGTGAGTGGCAGAGAGCATTCGTGAGTTGGATCGGAGCTTTGGAGCGCATCAGGGAGGAAAGGCCGGGAGTGACGATAGCAGCAACGTTGGGGGCAGGTGGGGATTGAGATTGGTCCGAAAGGCACTAGGGCAAGGGCAGGGTTGGACGTGCAGGCAAGGGTGGGGGGAGTGGCTTCGCATTGCTCCTAGGTTAAGGTCTGTGGGCCATGGTATGTGGTGTTGCTGAGCGGTCGGAGTGAGGGAACGGGCCAGGAAGGCAGGCGCCATGATTGCAAATACTAGGTCGTACAGGATCAAGATCCACGGGAATGGCCAACCTAACAAGACAGGTTGGGGCGGATTAGGGTGCACCTGGTAGGCCTGGTAGGCAGCCGGTGCCAGAGGGGAGCTGACATTTGCAATTTATCAACACAGAAGATTAAGCTGTGGCTAATATGCATATGATCATGGCCAGGGCCTGGTCCCCGGGGACTCCTCCAGGAGCCATCTAGCTCACTTTCTTTGTATCGACCCGTGAATACGAGGGAAGGCTGATGCCATGCAAGGTCGCAGCAAAGGGTCTGGAATCATGCACCAACACCACCAGCCTTCCGTGTCGTCGCGGACATGCAGACCTGGACTTCCCTATCCCCAAAACTGCTCGCGCAGCACACTTCCCCCGTGGGGAGTTCACCTCCAGGTCGCGCCCTAGGACGCGGCGCGCCCTAGGACGGCTTGCTCTTCTCTACCGCTCCCTCCCATGTGGTTGTTGGTCCCTGATGCGCCTCTGTTCTTCAGGCCTGCGAAGATGGTTGAGAAGGGGGGCAGACAGCACCCCCACCAGCACCGCCAGACGGCCTCTACTGGGTCTGTGGGTCCCGCTCCGTCCATGTCAGTGGCCAGGGGGCATCCGGGTGTTGCGGGCCCTGCATCGCCTTTACATGCAGGTGGGGTTCAGAGGCCGCATCACGGGTGGTGCTCCCCGGCGGGGGCGGGGGCTTAGGTCCTGCGAATGGTGCTCACCGAGCGAGGAGGAGTCTGGGTGCTGCATGCCGGGACAACGTAACTCCCCAACCCCCATTACCGTACCTCAACCCCAGCCTAGCTCAGGCTAACGCTACACGTGACAGTGTGTCTCTCTGTCGCGGCGGCCCCCACCAACGCTAATGTCCGTTTACTCCTGATAAGATCCACACACATGTCCGTCCAGCACAGGTGCACCTGGAGCTTCTGCCCAGGACGCAGTTGATGCAGTCCGCACTGACAGTCACCGCACCCTGAGTCGGGCTGTTGCAGTTGGTCGGCAGCAGCTAGGGGAGCTCATGCAGCTGCAGCGGAGGACAGCTGCGCGGGCGGAGCTGGCCGACGCGAGGTGGGACGGGGTTGAGGACGGCGCCCAGGGAGGGGCCCAGGGAGGGAGGGATGGTGTCTGGACCGCCGGCCGACGTTCAATTGGTTAGTGCTTTTGCAGCCTATGTCAGTGGCAAGAGGTCTGCCGTGATTTGCAAAGCTTGTCGGTGGGGTGTTGTTCTCCACATGGGTATATTACCTGAGGAACCGCGGCCTGAGGTTGTCGGGGTGCAAGACAAGATAGAAGGCAGGAACCCGGAGAAGGAGATCCCAATGGTGGGCACGGAGAGCCTCGAGTGCACCGCACCACACCGCAATTTGCACGTAATGGGTGTGTGTTGGGCGCACCTCCCCGCCATGCGTGCTCGTAACCTCTTCTCGCTGACACCAGATGGGGTTCACAGCGCTTACTGATCGCAGGGCGGTGGAGGCCGCGCTAGGGGCGGCTCCGGAGCACCTGCGTCTGCTGGGCCTGGCCTTCCGCGCATACATTGTGGGCGGTTCTGGAGCCAGCAGCGCTGCCGCCGCTCCCGCCACCGTGCTGGCGGGCCAGCTGAGTTCCCTGGGCTACCGGGTGTATGTGGACCCGCTGACGCTGCTGCAGGTGAGCGGTGCAGGGTGGGGGCATGTGGGAGATGGGGGAAGGGGAGGGCGCACGTGGAGCTGTGGATGTGATCTGGGCGATGTCACAGTCACACTGCTTCACTACTCTGGCTGCGTGGCTGGGGCGGTCGGCGGGCCACAATGAGCGAGGCGCAAATGTAGGAGTAAATAGAGCACACTGGACTTTGCAGAGCCCCGTCTGCTGCTTGTCTCCTGCCTGTCGCGGCCGTGCGTCCATTTTTCGACCATAGTGCTTGCGTGGCCGCCATCGAAATACAACGCAACTCCAGCTCGGGGGCCCCTTATGTGCTGTGAGCCCTGTTTAAATCCTGATGTAGTGTGTGAAAGTTACCGGCTTATCGACCAATAGGTTTTTTTGGCGCCCGTCCCCAATCCCCTTTCCTGCGTCCCTGTGTTTTAGTACACGTCAGCGCTCCTCCCCTTCCGCTACGTATACTTGTCTTGTGCTCACGTGCACTCGTACTATCGTTGAAAATCCACCACCACCACCACTGTTGCAACGCCGTCACCGCCACCGCAGCAGGGGCCCCCACCACTTGGCGTTGAGTGCTCGTCAGCCCCTCTGGTGGCCCGGGCGGCTGTGGTGGTGGTGATTGCGGCAGCCCAGTTGTTGAGGAGCTCGCTGGCGAGGTTGGCATGGGCGCGTGCCGGATGTATTTATAGGAGTGGTTGGATGAGGGTGTAGGTTGGTAGTTGGTGGGTGGGTGGGTCCCTGAGTGATGTTTGGACCCCGGCTCTGTTATCCATACTCAGCTTGCCTTCATCCCTTCTGCAGCTGTCCTGGGGATCTCCGGTCCAGCAGCCAGCTTTCTCTTAACATGTACATGAGGGCCTATATTCCCTCCATGACATGCACCCACCTTGCTCTCCACTCTGCTGCCCTCCGTTCCTTCGGTTCTATTCTACTGTGTGGCTGGCGGGTGTGCTGTTCTACTGCGTCTGATACTTTGGAATTCCTTCCTGGCATCTTTTCCTAAGAGTCCCCCGATCGTGGCATCGTGGCTCCCTCATGACAGGGTCGAGCTCTGCTCCGCTGCCCGGCACGGCTGTCCCCTGCTGCTGCTCAGTCCGCCGGACCTGACACTGGAGAACTTGGCGGCCGTGGGGGAAGCGCTGCTGCCAGGGGACGGGGGAAACCCAGCCGACTTGCCAGCGCAGCAGCTGGTGCGTGGGTACGGGTGTATCGTACCATTTGTGATATGGTTGGAGCCGGCATCACCCGATGGCATTACAAAGGCCCAGCAGGGCTCGAGGAAAATGAAGTTCCCCAAGGGAAAGATATGAAGCCACTCGGGGCGAAAAGAGCAGGCAAGGAATAACAAGAAAAGAAACACTACCGTGGCACACAAAGTAGTGTCTGTGCGAGTCGTGGGAATGTGTGGGCAGTGGGATACACCATCTGATCTTGAGCCTGACGCTGGGCAAAGGCAAATGCGGGAATGGACACCTGTCCTAACGGACGCCTGGCGCTAGCGGAAAGCTGTTGTACCCTAGGAATCCCAAATGCCCTCGCTCTTGCCCACGCGAGGGGAGACCTTCCAAATCCCATGCGGCAGTGTAGGTGTGCTTGTACAGGCCAACATCATGAAAGAGCACCGCAAAGCGCAATGGCGGGTTTGCCGCGGATGTACGTATGTTAGGAGGGAACATGTTTGTATGTGTAGATGTATGTGAGAGAAGAGAGAGGGACCGGGCTCAAACACGAGCTCACCGGCGTTACAAATGCACGAGCATCCAGGCATGATTGATCAGGCAAAAAAAAGCACAAACCTTGCTGAAAACGATTCATGTGCAAAGCAGGACATGTACCTCAATACTGGCAACCTGTACACACAGCGTGCAGGTGTTCTTCCCGTCCAGCCGCAATCGTCACTTACCGATACCGGTACCAGTACCTCGTCCCACTCGCACGGCTCCACTTCCGCCCCTTTCCCTTCAGGCCGCAGGCGCCCTACGTGAGGCCTGGCCCTCCCGGCTTACCTTGGCCCCCGACTCGCCAGCCACCCCAGCCGCAGTGGCCACCCGCCTGGGCCTACCCGACACCCGCCTGGCGCTGCTGCCACCGGAGGCCCTCCGCCAGCTGGCCGTAACAAGGACTGGAGTGATGCCAGATCTCGCGTTCCTCAACGCACCGATATCGCCTGGTAGCAGCTGTGGTGGCGACAGGAGTGGTGGCAGAAGCGGCTTTGCAGGGCCAGGCGGGCTGGGTGGGGCGGCAGGACTGACCGGGTTGCGGCACCTGAAGCTGAACTTCGGCCCAAGGGGAGAGCTAGATGGCGGCGGCGGTGGGAGGACAGCGCCGCTGTTGGAAATGCTGTGTTCGGTGCTGCGGGGTAACAGCACTCTGACGGCCCTGACGCTGCGAGGTCGGGCGGTGGTTGGGTTGCACCTGGCTAGATGATGTTCGTAGGCGGGAAGGTAGGGGACACCTGTCCTCAGGGCGAGGAAAGGAGGACAGCTTGAATATTTCACAGAGCCGTTGTGGCAACATGGCCGTTTGCAGCACCAAGGTCGCCTAGCTACGGTATCTGGCAAGTCTTAGTGTCATGTTGGTCGCGATAAGCTGTTATTGCTTTCCATCCCCTTAAGAACTTGGAAAGGGACACGATGCGGTTTGTCAAGGTATTGAAATACCCCCACCCAAATCGGGACATAATCCGGACATGTTGACGGCCGCGTAGGCTGCCCCGCGACCGCTGCCCGGACCATCACTGAGGCCGCCCTGGGTAGCCCTGTCAGCCGCATCGCCAACATCACCGTCTCCAGCAGGGTGCCCGTGGCGCTGCTGGCAGGGCGAACTGGGCCCCATCACTCAGACTCACACCAGCAGTCCCAAGTCATTGAGCTGGGAGCGGGTAAGGCCGCCACGGCTGCAAGGTCCACCGAGGCGGAAGAGGTACGGTTCACCGACGAGGACGCAGAGGTGGTGGCCGCGGCGCTGCGTGTGCGGGCAGCAGCCGCGGCAGCGGATAATCCGCCACCACCACCGCTACTAGCGCTGTCATTTCCACGTTCATGCAACCTGCGCCTGGGTTTCTGTGCAGTGAGCTCCCTGGCTGTTGCGCTGGCGGGCCTCCTCCCTGGACTGCGGTCAGTGAACGGGGTTGTGCTGCAGGTAAGGGGGCTGAGGCAGTGGAGGGAGAATGGAAGGAAACCCATGGGCGAGGGAAAGGGAAGGACAGCGGACACAGACAGCACTCAGTGAGGGAGAAGGATTTGCTGGTGGCGGGACCAGGGAAGGATATGGGGGAGCAGGGAGAGGAAGGGCAGCGGAGCCGGATGGGGGGAAGAGGGAGGCGTCCAGAGTACAAGAGGGGTGCTTCGAGTACCTGACCTCGATGCCAACTACTGCCGCCTTAGCGCCAACCATCACATCGCGCACAGTACAGTACCAGCGTTTTTTCATAAATAATAAATTACTTAAAAAAAATAAATCAGCATTCTGGCCTCTGGAAAAAAGGAACAAATTGAGGCCGACCCGTACATTTTCATTCCCTCATCCAAAAACGTCCATTGCTGCCGGATTGCTCCTTTATGTGCAGAACTTCGTATTTGCAATCATTGAATAGATATGAGGGTGGCCGCAAGATGGTCACGCCCGTGAGTCAATGCGGGATAGCAGCATGTATGACCGGTCCTCACATAGCCAAACACGCAAAAGGCAATGACTCAAACGTCGAAAAGACACCAAAACAGCAAGATAAGCCTGGAAATTTCCCTATCAAGGGCGTTCGGGATGGCGGTATTGTTGTCGGTAATGCATCGGCAAGGTGTTGCTGCCAGCGGCGACTAATGACTGGCGCCATTACCCCTGCCCTCCATGGCGGGTGTGATCAGCATAAGTCCAAGATATCGCCCAATCAGGTCGACAACAACAACAGTGAATGCGGTGAGGCCGGCGATCCATTCCAGGCGCCCAACCTGGATGCTCGCCATGCCAAGCGGGCTGAGACACAGCGCATCCGCAAGGGCCAGAGCGACGGTGTATGGCGGGACAAGCAGAAAGAGAAACCCCACAGATGGCTGATAGCCTGGGCCGCCAAGTATCCCTGGGCCGGGCCTGTGCATCCTGACGGGGACGTGCATGACTCTTGGTCTAGGAGGGGAGTTGTAACTTATGGGGGGGTGTTGGGGCCGGAGGCGCTTCATAAGGAATATATTACGACAACCCTAGCAACTTTGTTACTTAGTTGGAATAAATTGAGGCCCGTCCTAAACGAAAAAAATCGCTGAACCGTACAGTACCGTACAGTACCATGCATTATAACACCGTACATCTGTGGATATCCTGACTTATACGTTGTCGTTCTGTGCCAGTCGTTCCTTCATTTGTCCTTTCACCCGGGGGACCTGCTGCCTAGTTGCGTCATAGTGCAGCGGGCTATACCTCCTCTCCCGCGCTTACTTCAACTTACCCGCACCCCCTCCACTGCCACTGCCCCTCCATCCCTCCGCATCCGGAGAGGTACGTAGACCGCCACCGCGAAGGTGCAGCCACCCCGGGAGGAAGCAGCAGCTGGCGCGGCGGTACACGGGGGTTCACCCTCTGGGCCCGTTGGTGCTCGGTGTGGTGGGGATCACCACGGCGCGGCGCTCTGCGGGAATGTTTTGGATCTGAGCGGCTCCCGCTGCGGTCCCCTGGTGCTGGCCCTGGTCGCAGCGCAGCTCAAGGTGTGGCGCCCGGCAGGGCCAGAGAGAGGGCATAGCCCTACCTGCGGCATCCGTGCACACATACGGCCGAGGCACTGGCTCGCCTTGTGCATGCTTCGGCCCGCATGACTAGATGCTGCATGTTGATCTACATAAAAGCAAAAATACACCAGGCGGTCGAGACGATATCCTTATGGGGCAAGTAGCAAACCGAGTTGCCAGGTAATGGGGGAGCGGTTTACACTTGGAGCCCCTCTGTCGAGACCCATGCGTGTGTTTTAACAAAGGCCTCCTCCTCCCTACAGTGCCCGCTCAGCCCTATTCCGCCTCCTTGTCGTCATCAGCTGCACTGCTACCGCCTACATCAATTGTATGCACACCCCCACAGGGGAAGGTCTACCTATCCCCTAGGAGCAGTCTGGGCCCGCGCCTTCATCCGCAACTTTCACGACAAGCATGCAAACCATATCCTACCTCGCCCCGCGCCCCGCAGGCCGCTCCCCACCATCTTACTGCCCTCAACCTAACCGGCTGCGAGGTGGGCCCTGTGGGGGCCGCTCTCCTGACGGCATGGGAGGCGGGGCAGGATGCGAATGCGAATGCGGAGTCCTGGGGAGGGAAGGGAAGGCGGGGAGGAGGCGGAGTCCTGAGATCGCTCCAAACCGCCTGCCTAGCGGACAATGGATTGGGGCCCGAGGTACGTGGATGGAAGGGTACGCAGTGGGCTGAGGGCAGTCCCGGGGACGTGCGGTGAATCCGTGCGGTACCGGTTGCGTGGGTGCATGAGCTGAGCGGGGCACAATGTTCTCTGCTCTTCGCTTATTTTGCTCTTTCACTACCTCCTCCTTCGACAACCTCCGTTTGCTATCATGGCTTGCTTTGTCCCACCCGTCATGCACCGTTTCTGGGCACCTCTTCCATCGCCGCTTCGTCATGGCTGCCATGTCTAGGCGAGTGCGCCCGCGTTGACATCGTGTTGGTTTCCGTAAATGATCGGTTTAGGTCGGCCAGTTGTCGTAGCCACCAGACAGCATGACAGGCGGAGGAGTGGCCCGGAGAGGTGCTTACCACCGTTAAGCCTTTGCCAACTGGAGACATATTTCCCTTCCTTGGCGTCCACCTCCGCTTCCTCTTCCAGGGTGTCGAGGAGCTGTTGTTAGCCCTGGTGGCCCCGGTGGGAGCGGCTCGCAAAGGATCGGCAGGCAGTGGCGAGGATGGGGATGGGAGCGGAGGTGGTGGGTTGCAGGCACCTCACTCCTCCCCTTCCTCTCCGGGCGCAAGCTGTTGCACAGTCCTGGACCTATCGCTCAATAACCTGGCTGACGTCGGATGTAAGGTAGGGGTGTGTGCGATGTGTGCACATGGAGGTGGGGTCCGGGGCCCCAGTTGGGCGCGAGGGTTGGGATGGCGGAAGGAAAGGCCGGAGTGAGCCAGGAAAGTGGAATTATTCCGTAAAGGGATGAGAAGGCGAAAGGAAGAGGCGTAGGGGGGAAGGAGTCTCGTGTGCTGCTGCTGATGTGCGTGTGTTTGTGTTAGATTGGGGTGGGGGTTCAATGTTTGTTCACTGTTGTATGTTTATTTGTGAGAGGGTGAGGACCACCACTCCTTGGAGGGTGCCGCTGCCGCTGCGGGGCAAGGAGGCGACTGTGCTTTTGGCGTGGACAGCGACCAGGTCCCTTATGCCCCCTCGCACCTGTGTTGGCGGGAGTGGGTATTCACCGTTCGATATGTATATGGCCGTTTGCCTTTGTGCATGTCATTTGTGTTGGAATGATCTGGGCCATGTGTGTGTATGTATGTAAGTGTGTATGTGCCTCAGGACAGCTTGTATCTCCTGTTACACCAGACAAAGCATACTCGCGGGGATGCCTAAGGAGCTGAATCTCTCATGTCTCACGCCAGTCCTCACCCGCTGATCATGATGTTTCATTTCCCCGCCTATGTCTTCCTTATCGATGACCTCATCCCCCTCCCTTAGGTGCTGGCTCGTTCGCTTCCCGCCCTGGGCCCCTGCCTGCGGGTGCTGGCGCTGTCACACAACGGCATCGGCACACAGGGGGCCGGAGCGCTGTCGGGGGTTCTGGTGGCGTGCAGGGGACTCCAGGTGGGTCTGGGGGGCAGCAGCATGAGGAAGTCCTGGAGACAGGCCACATGTGCCATACACCACTTGTGGGGGCACCCGTTGCATTCATGGCGGTGGCGAGTACAGAAAGGAGGGTGGTGGTGATTGAGGTGGAGGTTTGGTTGTGGGTTCCGCTGGTGTGCAGCAGCCACCCGGGCGTCGCTCACTACCTGACCTGACCATGTGTGGCCACACCATGTCAGATTCAAGCCCGCGGGGTGAATTTTGTCAACACACCATTTGTAGCCCTCCTACGTCTGGCATGTCCCAACCTTGTGCCTTGCATAGTTCCTGGCTGGGCAGACCAGGGTTCTTCACCAGGGTACCAAAACTTTCGTTTGTGCCCGAAACCCTCTTGAGTAACCTATCGGGGCCCTGCCCGAAAGCCTCCCTGTCAGCCAGACATTTACCTTCGGCACCCCTGAAGCTTTCGGGGCAAAATTGAGCTGATTACGATTCCCTCGTAATAGCCAGTTCACATGCTACGTTACGTTGAAACTTTTTGGAAAAAGTGGTCGGTTCGGACGTGGTAACGGTACGTTACCGGTAAAGTGTACGGAAAGTCTAAAGTGACCAGGGGGGGGGTTCAATTTCGTCAAACGCTGACCCCTCGTACCGTTACTTGAAATGCGTCGCCAATTTCGCGAGTTATAACAAACGGCCAAGCCCAATCGCTTATAAAGACCACATACTTGACAAATTGTGCGCGCTTTGCACTCCGACTGAATTTCTAGTCACACCGCTGCCTTATATTATAAAAATGAACAAGGACAACGCCGCTCGTGTTGCTCGACCCCTCACGACCGCTTACATAGCCAATATGTAACCCATTGTAGTATCAGGGCTGAAGCCACCCGCGAAACGGCAAGTCGGCCGCACTTCCGGCGGCATGGGCCGCGCCGCGTCGGCCCACACGCTCAATCTCTGCCACTGAGCATTGAACATATCTTCAAGATTATCAAAAATTTCATCCAGCGCGACCGCTAGGGCAAACCCCATCGCGGCTCGCGCGGGATGCAGTGCCATTGCAGTAGGCAGGGCTGCCAATCACCCTTCAAATATATATTGCAATTCTAAGGGGATGTTCTGAAGTTTTGGCCATTGAAAGACATAAAATGGAGATGGTTTTACACAGCTCGCGCCAACGAATACAACGTCGTCGTAATGTCCCGTGTGAACTGGGTGACTTTCTCAGGGCCACTTTTACCTAAAAGTTTTCGCAACGTAACGTAGCATGTGAATCCAGTATAAAACGCTACATCGGCTGAATTCCCAGGTACTTTCATAGCGCCACTACTAGGGGGGTGCTTCCACTTGGATTAAAAGTCACGGATTAAGGCTTCATCCGTCGCATATGGAAACATCGCGTGGATTAAGACGGATTAGGCGGAATAAGATTGGCGGGATTACAGGGTGTTTCCACTTGGCCGCGCACTAACTTTCGAACATTATCTTTAATGTGGACTTAGTGTGTGGCTAGTGGACAGGTGTTTCCACTAAGCGCCCCGGAACCATACTACAATTTGCTATAAAGGCACCAAACCATTGTTATAGTAAGAGTGGGTGTAATTTAATGCGCAAATCATTACAGTTTGGTCGGCGAATTGCTGGAATGTGGGCAATTCGACCGGTCCTGCTGTGAATTCCACTGGTTAGCGGGCTATTTGCGGCTGTGGATAAAGGAAAATACAAAAGGCAACGTAGGGCCTTGAAGAAGGAAAATGGCTGACTATGAATTTTCCCGCTCGGAAGTTAATGTCCACTTTGAAAGTGGACATTAAATACAGTTTAACATGTTATACTAGGGGGGCGGCTTTTCAAAGCCGAAAAGGGGCTCGGCCCCGGTGCAGCCACTTGCTCCCTGTTTGATTCGCAGGGCAGTCCGTACGGCATAGGAATGCAAGCACAAGAACGCCGTTATTTTTGGAGCAGAGGTCGGCAAACCCTGAATAACTGTCACGGGTACTGGTGCCAGGGTCGAATAACTGTATGGAAATGTTTTGGTAAAAGCCGAGGAAAGAGTGTCTGCGGCCGATGTACCAAACTTACTACGTTACACCATCGCTGTTAAAGCCACAGTTGTCTTGTTGTGCCCAAAAATGGAAGGTTTGGTAACCTAATGATGAAGTTTATAGCTTCAAAACTGCGCAAACCTGCCTTTTGGGGGGAATTTCTCCACCCTGCCGTACGGCTGCCGTACCAGCGATGAAGAATAGAGTTGAATTTCTGCAACGGGTACAACGGAAGGACCCGTGGTACCCGTGGCGTTTGCCGACCTCTGGTTTGGAGTACACACTTGTTGTGAATAGCTTTGAGATGGTATAACTGTATGTCAAACTCGGAGCCATGGAAAGCTACCTTTGTCGCGTTCCGATTTATCTGGAATATCTCCTTTGGCATTTCGATATAGAATGGATATAGCATTCAAACGCTATTTTTTGCGGGGCGAGATATGTAAGCCACTGACTGACTGTATGAATGTGTGAAATTTTGTGCGATACAGTTCACGTATATGCCGGGTAGGTTAATGCTAGATTTGAGCCTCAATGCACGTTTATACCTGATTTTTGACCAGGGCCCCCCATAGCTAGGGCCACAACTTTCCTAAGAAGAATTCTCAAAACTTTCGGGCCCCGGATCGGGGTGAAGGACCCTTGGGCAGACCCTTTTTATAGCTGCGATAACTGCGTTTCAAGCCTGTAGTGGTAGGACGCTGCATGAACACTGCATACCAGCAGGCATTGACCTGCTTGTCGTAGCACCGTTTCAGCAGGTCGTACAGCCCCGGGCAGTCGGTGTTTGCCACATCAAACTCCTTGGCCGCTGCCAGCAGGGCCTTCCAGACCGGGTACAACTGGTTGTAATGGGAGATATCATGGGAAGCATTTGGCGGATGGACGATGTGGCTTAGTGTAAGGGGCAACGGTGCTACTGAGTAACGCGGCAAACAGGGGACACACATCCATTCACCCAAAACCTTAATTGATCTTCACACCTGGCTCAGCATCGGGCTGTCGCATCTCAGCTTGTGTAGCGCCTTGGAAATGGGCTCACAGAACTCCGCCAGCTTGGCGCCCTTCGTGAAGGGGCCCAAGTTCCAGAAACTGCACTCACACTCGACCACGGCTTTGAACTCCTCCGCCTTCGAGCTCCCGTCGCTAGCGCCAGGCCACACCTCCTTGTTGCGTACCATGGCCTTCAGCGCGTCCTCAATCTCCAGCACGTCGCTTAGAACAAAGTAGTTCACAGCGAAGCGTGTAGGGGTGTTGGCAGTAATGGCCGACTTCTTGCCATACTTCTCCATTTGGTGCACGCCAAGCAAAGCCCGGATGCGCTCCGAATCACCAACCACTGTGGAGATGGTGATAGAAGCATTGAAGATCTTGGCCACCCACTTGACGTTCTTCTCCTTGGCCAGGTCCTTTGAAAACCAGCGCCATGCCATGTACCCCACAGCCCACACCCAGCCGGCCAGATATAGTCGTCGGGCATCGTGAACGTTTCCGCCACCACAGTTGGATCTGCAGTTCAATCAGAGTGTAAAGTACGGTGCAGCACGCAGTCAGTGACCAACGGTACAACCAATAGGGCCTGCAAATTCGTTCAGGTCACATCAGACGGCACTAAACAAGTAAACATATCCACACATCCTACCTTCTTGATAAACTGCACATCCTTCCGTACGCCAGCAGCGCGCATGACACGCAGGAAGGCCGAGCCCGTTGCCAGCATCAGCACGAAGTTGACGAGCGGCATCCCCTGCTCAGCGGCGCGGTTGCGCCAGCCATCAGAGCAGAGCGCAGCTTGGCCACCCGTGTGCTGCCGGGCCTGCGCCACCTGTGCCTTAACCTTGATGTAGGCGCGGTCCAGCATTGGCCCCATCAACTGCTTCCGGTTTGGCAGGTTGATAATAGCAACCCAAACAGGTTCCGCAACTCAGGCTTCTCGATGAGGTCAATATGCACGTTGTTCCTGTAGAAGAACATGCCAAGGTCCTCCATGACCCGGCGCGAGTCGCGGGAACCACTGGGAGGAGGGTCTGGCCATCCATGCCGCGGCGCCGCTTGGAGTGGGCCTGCTGATCAAGTAATACATAGTACTATTTTACTATGCTGGTTTACTATGTACGGACACGGGACGAGCGTCGTAAACCAGTGCCACTGTCAAGCCCCGCATAGTATGTAGTACTATTCCTGGTACTATTCTAGTATAGCACTATTTTCTAGTATAGTACCCGTGCCAACCCTACTTGTTCGTATCCCCTTTTCTTTCTTTCGTGTGCCGCGCGTCTCGTCCTGTCTTGTTCTTCTTCCCGGTGCCCAAATGACATGGAGGGCTACTACCTTGCCGGTCAACTATGCTTCGTTACATTCTTTTTTGTTTGATTGACTTGGACGGCTTTCAGGTGCAGTGGTTGGTTCCACTGCTCTGGTATGGTACCCTCAGGTTTGAACCAATTGCGCACCAAATGGTTTGCGATTCGAAAGTTACAAGCCATTAACGTCTGGATGCTCTGAGCCGCTATTTTCTTTCTCGTTAGTCGTCCTCGCCTGGCCCCACCCCTTGCGCAGGAGCTGATTCTGTCCGGCAACCAGCTTGGTGACCAGGCCGCGCGCGAGCTGCATGGGGCCTTCATCAAGGGGGGCCTGCGGGAGCTGCAGGTACACCGGGGACCCTAAGGAGGGGGATGCTAAGGATGGGGGTTCTGAAGGGTTCTTCCTTCATGGAAATCGAAGCAAGAGAGAGAGTGAGATGAGGGTTGACAACCAGAACTGACGATGGGCAAAGTCCAGCGAAGTGTGGGATGTGGCGGGTCTCCCTCTCTTTCCCCTTTCGCGCCGTTTACCCAACATACGTATCCATCCATTCATCCATCCATCCATCCATCCATCCATCCATCCATCCATCTAAATCAAGGTTCTTCACCTCGATTCGGGCCCGACATTTTGAGAATTTTCCGTTTTGCCCGAAAGGAGGATTGGCTCAACATTCCTGGTCAGCTCGCAGGTCCACTTTGTCCCAGGTCACCACCGTTCATCGACTATGGACACTCTCACCTTCCACCATTGGAAGGATTTTGGACCCTGACCCGGTCTCAATCCCGGACAAGTATAAACGTGCATTGAGGCTCAAGTCTAGGATCAACCTACCCGGCAGATACGCGAACTGTATCGCACAAATTTTCACACATTCATACAAGCTATAGTAGTGGCGCTATGAAAGTACCTGGGAATTCAGCCGATGTAGCGTTTTACGATGGAATCGTAATCAGCTCAATTTTGCCCCGAAAACCGCTTGGGACAGCTTCGGGGGTGGCCGAAGGAAAATGTCTTGCTGACAGGGAGGCTTTCGGGCAGGGCCCCGATAGGCTGCCTGGATAGGTTGTGCCCGAGGGTTTCGGGCGCAACCGACATTTTGGGGCACCCTGGTGCAGAACGGCATCCATCCATGCATCCATGCCTGTGCTTTGGGTTTGTCTGTGTTGTCTGTATTGATGGGGTGTTACACTATGGGCGGCTCGTCCCGAGGAAGGACCGAGAGCACCGGGGCCCCTGACTGGGCCGAAACACAGTGCAGGGGCGGGCGTGCGGCTACGTCCGTCTGTTCCTCCGTGCGCGCTTCACTCCCTCGTTCACGCTAGCGGGGGCGGTCTTCTTCTTCCTGGCTAGGCAACACGGCGGCGCAGAAGACTGTGAACCGAACTAAGCGAGAGCCGTACGAGAGGCACCACACCATCTCCGCTACCTGCCTCCACTTCGCCTGGCCAGCCTATTCGCGCGCTCTCTCCTCTAGAACACGAAAACAAGATCAAACAGAAAACACCATAGGGGGCAGGGGCTCTATTCAGGGGGCTCCACTACACATTCAAAAACCGATGCATGGGAAGACCTACCTACGTTAGACGCGGCCCCTCAGAAGACTCTCCTAGCCAAGGACACCCATGCAGCCAGCAAGGCAGACACAGACAAACAGACACACACCGACACACAAACAGACAGACACACAGACAGATATACACAAGGACAGACAGACACAGAGACACAAGCCTGCTAATCGTCGTGCACTCAGCAGAGCGATGATCCTCCCTCACACCCGACTTTTACCTTTTCTCAACAAGTCTACTCCGGCCATGCTCCCCTTCCCCTCCTGTGCTCCCACTTCAGGTGCTCCACTTGCAGGACAACCCGCGAATCGGCTGTGATGGTATTGCAGCGCTGTCCCAGGCCTTATCGGCCCTGCCGTCTCTGGAGCAACTAGATGTGTCCAGATGCTACGTGGGGGATGAGGGCGCTAGATATCTGGCCAAGGTGGGAGGCGGGGTAGGGCGCGGGCAAGGATGAATAGGATTGGAGTGGGTGGGTATGTCGGGTCGGACGAACGATGGGCAGGTTGTGGCGGCTATGCGGGGCGAGGTAGGGCCGTACATGGCCGTACATGGCCGAGAGGGCGGGTGGTCGGCGAGTGCGCGAGAAAGTGAGGTGAAGGGCGCACAGGGGGGTTGCGCGGGTGCTCAGCGGGTGGCGGGGAATTCGAGAGGAGCAGGAGGGTCTGGGGCTGGGTTATGCCGTGATGTGGCAGCGAGGCAAGGCGAGGGACGGTGGACGGGTAACCGTGTGGAGGGGAAGCGCGGCTATGTGGGCTGGTTTATGGTTGTAGGCACACGACAGCTCAGACAGGGGCTCACGGCCCGAGTTCAGGCGAGGTTGTGCAAGGGGCGAAAAAGAGCGTCTCAGACGAGGAACGACGAAACCACCTCCCGCCTCCCTCTCTCCCCCTCTCGCCCTCGCCTTCTCCTCCTGTCGTTCCCCAACACACGCCCAAAGGCTGTGTCAGTGCACCCGTCTCTGGCGTTGCTGGCCCTGGACAACTGCAAGATCCGCGCGGAGGGAGCGGCCCACTTGGCAGCCGTGTTAGGTGGGGTCCCCTCGGAAGGTCGGGGAGCAGCAGGAGCTGGAGCCCCTCCACCTACCGGTGCGCCTTCAGGGGCCTCAGGGGCCTCGGTGTCTGCGGGTCCTTCACCCCGTCTGAGCCAGCTAATCCTCGCACGCAACCTGCTGGGCGACCGAGGGGCAGCAGCGCTGGCGGCGGCACTGGGCTGCAACACCTGCTGCCTGACCGAACTGGACCTGCGCGGCAATGGGGTGGGGCTGGCGGGATGTAGGAGTCTGGAGGCGGTGCTGCGGGAGCGAAACACGCGGCTAAGGAGGCTCGATATGACGGGAAACGAAATGGAGGAGGAGGCGCTGAAGGTGGGTGACCGTGTCCATGCGTGTCTGTGGTTGGCTCGGGTGTTGGTTTGCTAGGGGTTTGACCGCGGGCCTGACCGGATCAGATCAGGCCAGGCCAGGCCGTAGAACGGTTGGCGACACCGCAGGCGATATCGTTGTTAGGGACGGTTTCGAAAAGGATTTGAAGCGATCTGGCGAAGTTTACATGGCGGTACAGCGTGAGGTATGTACGGCAGGATGGATGCGTCCGAGGATCCCTTTTGGGAAGGTATGGCTTGTGGTATAATAAAAAACATCTTAGCCCCCATGGTTGCACAACCGATACATTCATCTTAATGAATTTGCCCAATCCTGAAATAGAGTAACTGTTGGCCCAGGTGCAAGGCGTTCTGGCCCTAGCGCCCATGCTGTGCCTTCATTCCACAAACATGCAGTGCGATACCCCGGAGCACCACATAGGTGCGGCAGAAGATGTCTTCCAGTTCTACAAGAGAAATTCCTCGAAAAGGTGCAGCTGGAGGTTCCGACAGTTCTTATCACTCATCACGGGAAATTTCCTGACTTATGGAATCCTCGACCCGAACTCCCCTGCTCCCGTGCACAATGCTACTGCGCACCTGCGTACACACGCCGTGCGTCTTGCCGAAAGCGATGTTTCGCTCCCAAGCCATTCCGCTTCTTGGTTTTGTGCATGTGCAGCAGGGCCAGCAGCATGTGCAGCAGGGCCATACCACCAGGGCTGGCACCGTGACATATTGTGCAGTGTATATGATGTCCGATCCGCCTTATGCCCTGTCCTGTCCTCGACCTGGCTGTAGGCCATATGGCAACATAAATGACCCCCTTTCTTCACCCCCGTGTGCAAGGGCAGGCGCTGGAGAACCTCGCAGCAGCAGCTGCACCCCGGAGTGCCCAAACAGCCGTGTGGCCATGTGCTTCGGGAGCAGCCGCTTCACGAACCGATGGGCCAGGTGGGTATTACAGGAGGCATATCTATCCGCCACAACAGGGGCAGGTACCGTATAGTCGTCGCCTCGGCCACTACGTGCTGCAGAACCCTAAATCCGCCTTCGTTGTTTTTGTTGTTGAGGCTGAATCGCCGCCCGCCACAGGCACTGCTAGTGGCCGAGCCCTTGCAATGCTCGTCCACGGCGGCAGCGGCGGTGGCATGGGCACCACATTGTTCCGGGACACCTGCATTGCAGCCACTAGCACAGCTAGCGCCAGTGGCCAGCAACATGGACAGCGGGGGCAGTACCAAGGCACGGAATTGGAGCAGCCGATTTCTGCTTTGGCAACACTGGTTGGGGGAAAAGCTGCCTTGTCGGGGACCGGTTTGTTGGAGTCGAGCATTGCCAGTGGAGCCGCAATGGCCTCCGTCGCCACAGGTGCATCATCGGAGTCAGGGGCTGGTGAAGGTGAAGGTGAAGTGGACGGGGACCTGGAGGCATTGCTGAGCAGGTACCGGACACGGCCTGCGGGGTAGGATGCTGCGGGAAGTGGAGCTTCGGGCGTGTTTGGACGGCAGGGAGGTGTTTACCTGGTTCCCGAGATGAGGGGGGTTGGCATCTCGGTGTCAAAGATATGATGTAAGGCAATGGAGTGTATGGTGTCGCAGCTCGTGCTATAGCATTTTCTAACATCGCGTCGCCACAATCACTTCATAACTCGCCTCGCCATTAGTACGACTAGCACTATTTCATGGCGAATAAAATGACATTTTTTTAAGTGGCACACGGTTGCTTGGTCTCGGGGGTAATATCCTTGACCAATGCCACCATGGAGCGGATGTATGGGCTGTAGTGCGGCATTGGAGTGTGACTGTGGAGAGAGGCAAAAGAGGTTGTTTGTTGCAGCTAGCCGCTAAAACGCCTCTGCAGACCGTGGGAATGCGCTTTAGCATGTATATGTTGCTGTCTGCCAAAAAGCCTTTTCGGGTGTTGGAAGTGTGCCTTAGCACGTATATGTTATGCTTGGATGTGAGCCGTACTGTACGATGTCTACTACCACGTGGAACCAGCCGAGCGTATCGAGAGGAGTGCGATGTGATGCCAGCGAGAGGGTAATGGTTCAACTTGTCATAACACTCCCGAGCAGCTCTCCCGTGCTGAGAAGGTGCTATCATGGCAACATGGCTAGTGCGGGAGCCGGCGCTCTTCAGACATGTACACGTGTAGTACTAACAGATGGCGGTTTTGTATACAGCGATGGATTGGTCGCCCCAAATTACAAATATGCCGTGCACACCAGCAAACAGGGACGGTTTGTTCAGGGTGCGGCACTAAAGTGCAGTCAGCCCCTACACTGTCCTATGTCCACTGTCCACTGTCCACACCCGAACATGGCACCACATATGGACGTCCAACAACACCGTCACCGGAAGGCCACTTGTTTGGTGTGTCGACTGGGATAGGTGCGGTACATTTGGCTGTCTACCCTGGCCTCCGATGATGAGATGACAACATCTGACAACATTGCCGCAACCGCCCTGGCCCTGGGCTTTCCCAACAGCAGCCAGTGCTCTCAGTGAGGAACGCAACAAGAAAGTCAACGGCGCCGTGCGGTTGAGATGGACACAACAGCCGTTGTCACTGCCGCCGTGGCCGCCGCAGCTGCTGCTGCCGCCAGGACAGCCGTACCGTCCACCCCCTGTCAAATCCAAGGTGTATATGCACACATTTAGTGATGGTAATGATAAGAGGTAAGAAGTAACAGAGGTCAAGTACAAGACAGCTCACATCTTACATGTGGGGATTATATGCCCTGGTGGCATGCACATGTGTGTGTTTGTTGATCACACTAGGGACCAGCGTTAATTCGGGGTGAAACAGAAACCCCGACATGACCATTCAAAATGTGCGAGTAGATGAGCAGGGTACAAGTGGTATGAAGTCAAGTCACATATGCATGTATTACACATGCTGATTGGAAAATGCGAATGTGCGTTTCTTTACCTAGGGAGGGAGGGACGGAGGGGCGGAGACCTGTCTATCGGTCAACATTAGGAAGGGAGGGGAAAGAAATGGAACCATATAGGAAGATGGTACCCGGTTGGCAACTTTGTTCCCACCTGGTTCAGAGCACACACGGCCTCATGCCCGCGGCCTGGACACCTCCTGACACGCCTCTTCCCAGGTGCCCAACCCCTTCGATTTCTATTGCCGGGACATATGATTTCATCTCCCCTTGTGCCGGACGCGCGCCCCTGCGGAGGTCTTGGTACCTGCAAGTGGCGCTGGAGCCATTTGCCCAGTGACGCCATCATATCACCAGCTCGATCCATGGCGCCCGTCACACAGTCTACCAGCCGAGACTCCAGGTCGCTGGAGCGGTCCTGTCGGATAGGCAGATGATATGCAGGATGTCAGCGTTGATTCAGATAGAAGCCCGGTTTTTCACATCTGGATAGGCAGATGCAGGTCAGCAGATTAGCAGCTGGCGAGCACCAAGCGGTGTTCGTCCCAAGCTCCTCATAGCCCCAATGCACGAGTTACCCCATCATCTACCACCCGGAGCTCCTGCCCGTTGTTCCGTTCTGCAGGTGTTGCTTCTCCCATTCCCATGTATTGCCCTCACGTACAATAATGGGGGCCACCCGCTGCAGTACACGGCGTTGGATCTCGGGATCTGCCAATATAGTTTGGACAAACTCACGCACGATCTCGTGGCGCAGACTCTCCGACTGCTGTGATTCATGGACGTTGGAAACGGAAAGGGAAGGTCGGGATTGGTTGGCGATGGGGTTCGGTGATGGCTGGGAATTTAGAGCTCTGGGAATGGAGGGAGTTGTTTACTGGCAATCAGCTCAGCTCAGCTCAGCAAGGGAGGTCAATGTTGGGTGAGAGAACGGAAGTAAAAAGTCGTCAGAAGCGGTTGCATTTTCGCGTAGGGCTTCAAGCAGCAGGGTTCGTAAGGAAAGTAGCAAGGTGGCGAGAACGGAGGAGGAATGGATGAGTGGATCCTGAAACAGAGAAACAAAAATAAACCTGGTGCATATACCTAATCCCGCAGGAAAATGTATGCGTGTGTTTATCACGCTGAGCAGCATTCGCCTTAAAGGTTTAACTAGCCCATACCATGCTAGCGGGCCTAGCGCACGAATGACTGTATGTATGGGCCGAAGCAGGCCGTGCAAAATTGACTGACTAATGGCCAGAGACACGCCCCTGTGCAGGGAATTATGTAAGCTTGGAAAGTGTGTAGAAGGAAGGATTGGTCTCGAGGTGAGAAAATTAACGAGCGTTTGCAACTCCTTGACGAGCGGTCGACACAAGGTGGGACAAAGCGGCTCGAGATTCGGGGCCATGTAGCAGGCGGTATGGCGGCGTCCTAGATGAAACACGTTCACATAGCGCACCTGCACAACCATCGCCATCTTGTAAAGGTTCGCCCTCGCTCCTTTAACTGCCAAATAACCTGAACAACTGCTGCTCCGGGAAATGTGCCTAATTAGCCACAAATCGAGGAAAGAGTATCAACTAAATGTTTTTGCCAAGACAATGGGAGACCATTTATTTATGCTACCCCTGGTTAAGAGACTGAAACTCCTCCCTGTACGGCATGCCGTCTCCTATTGATCCTACGCTCCAACGTCCCAACGTTCCAACTTCACAACCGAAGGCCGGCCACTCTATACGTCTCCTAACGACATCTGTCTTTCTGCCTCCTGCAACCTCATGGATGCAACGTTGCCTACTGCACGTTACAAGTGCTTCACGTTCCGGTAATGACGTGGCGCTCCGTGTGGCAACATGACCTACAATGTGTCTGTTTGCCTAGCAAGTGGCCACAAGGAAGTTGGCCTGATGACACAAGCTGGCCGTCGTGTGTATATGCGCCTCGCGTGGTGCTTGTGGACCAGCATAGTTACCGTAAAGGGTTGACCCTCCTATGCGTCTCCGTAATTCTTGAGAATTACGCCGTGCGTAACTCCGTAACATCACGTAGTTCAATCAGTGTTCTTCGCTTCTTAAATATGTCTTCATAAGTTTAAATATGGGAAGCGTAATAGTTACACCAAGGGAACGCAAGTTCCCGGACTGCAGCGCCAAGGCCCTTGCCATCGGCCAGGACTACCCCTCAAAGCACCTTACATACAGGTACTCATAGCGTGTATCAGTTCCTAAAATGTTCACAACTCAGCCATTCTTCGGTCAACGACAGTTGGACGCCACGGCAAGCCAAAACGTCCCGCAAGGTACTGTCGGTGCGCAGTAACCCCTCAAGCTTCCAACACGAAGTAATCACAGCTAACCCTATCCAAACTGTCTTTGAAATATGAATCTTCATCTGGATATGGATACGCCAAGTAACCCGTCAGAATGTGAATTTAATTATTATCGACCGAACTCGGTTAGGTACTATGATATGACCCGACACATCGTTTGCGGATTGACAACAACTCGCTTCCTTGCGTCTCAATTTCTCAAAGCGTCAACGGCGCAAGTCTGCCGGAAGTGCCTGGCTCCGTTTAGCGTACGAAGCCGTTTGTCGGATCCGCGAACGCTGAAACTTCGCCTGCTGGGCAAGGCAATAATGGCCATATTATCTCGCCCGGCCGTCAGGGCGATGGATTCAGGGCGATGACCTGGATCCACTTCGCCTTGCACTTTTTGATACTTGGCGACAGCTCACCCTACGAATGTACGTCCATTCCCGGGGTGGACACCGATGTCCACTCAATGACTCGACCCGTTCGGGGTCCACTGTAACAATCGCATCCCACTCATTGAGGTACCAGTCAAGAATGAGTGGCCCAATTTTTTGTTGGCTAGTGACACTTCAAATTTATATGAGGGAAACTGTGATGATAAGTTAACTTAAGAAATTTTACTTGTTTAATCCGCGTTTGGGCCACTCATTCGTGACTGCTACCTTGAGTTGAAAAATGGCGTTGCACCTTACACGCCATTGCAGCACGATAATCAATTAGAGTACGAATAGGTTGTTCTTAAGAAGTTCTCCTGTGCACGCGCTTTTTTATCTTCAGGCTTGTCGCACGGCAAAATAATAGTACCCCAGCAACCCTAACCTGAAATCTATTCTTATAATAGTAGTAATTACAAACACGTTGTTCGCGTACATACATTGAAAGAGCAAGGGCTCCGTTTCTCGTTGGGATGTCACAAATGTTACAACGAGGGCGGAGCGACGTAAGCCTGCTAACGACGTAACAACTAACGAGAAAACCTAACATACAGTGTGCGCTTATGGGCAGAGAATTTAGGGGGGATGTCCAGACTTCTTCGTTCTATCGAGGAGCAACTAAATATGGGGGCCCTTGTGAAGCAGCTGCCCGCGTTTCCAAAGCACGTATGGTGATGTGGAAGGTGCCGAAGTATGTTTGCGAGGAAGAGAATGGGGCCAGGCTGGAGAGGAAAGTGCAGTGGCATATTGGAATGTGAGTTTAGTCGAAGCGAGTTACAGGGCGTTTGGCGCACGGCGGAATGTACATGCAGTCTTGTCGTCGGGCGCGTATACAAGAACAACTGGAACAAGAACAACAACAACATCAGCGCGTTTACAGTACACGTCGCGTCGGTCCTCTGCTAAGTTGTAGTAACGAAGAATAAGGCACAAGGTACAAGTCGTCGCGCTTGGACGGACATGCCAGAACAGGCAACATGATGGGTGAAGACGCACGCTACCAAGCATGCACCCGAGCACGCGACTAATGTGGGCTCGTACCAGACGAAAGGTCGTGCGCCACGGCCATGAGCCGACCTATGCCACCCCTTGTTTCTTGCCTTACCACGTAAACGCAGACCGACACCCGTCACTGAATAGAGGCGGACTAATGTGGGCACGTACCAGATGAGCGGTCCTTTCATATACCACGGCCATAACCACAACTATGCCGCTCGTTGGTTCTCGCCTTACCATGTAAACGCTGACCGACACCCGTCGCCCAGAAGCGCGCCGCGTCTTCATCTGCAGAGGCAAATGCATGCTTGGTTGATTCTTGAGATGCGACCCCCGGTCTTTCGTGCTCGGAAGCCAGCACTCGCGTACCGGATATGTTGGCAATGCTGCATAGACGCTGCACTTCGGCTTCCGTGCGCAATGCGTACGATGGTCGACCCCGCCGACCAAAACTACACATGCTCAACTGAAGACATTCCCGGTGAATGTTCAGCAGCGCTTGAGCCTGCTGCTGGCTGACGTCCTTCCGGAGCTGCTGCAACACGTCTAACGCAGGCACGGCCGCATGCGCAGCAAACAGCTGTTCCATGCCATCAGCGGCGTCCATGTTACTTACACGGGTCCGAACGACTTATGTGTTCTTTTCTTTAATTCTGTGTATTTTATATTTATTGCGTCAGTTTGTATTTTGACATTAGTCGGAACAGGGTCCTGTATGCGTTGCGCTACCAAAAGCAGGCGCTTTTCCTTTTGCAAAAGTGCCGCTTCGCCAGACGCTTCCTCTTCCCGCGGCCGTTTCACGAGCCCAGTCTTGCAAGCTACGACGTAGGCTTTCGGTGCTTTCAGTTACTGCAAAGCAGCCACGCAATAGTCCAGCCTGCATGCCGCGTGCGACTGTGGCCATCGTGCCCACCTGCGCAACGCGCTGGCGCACCTCGTCCTTTTTCGCCAAAAAAAATTATATACACTTGTACACGCGCATTTTGAGAATCGCACGCGCGCACCCGCGCGTTAAAATTCGCGCCTGGCTTTTGGGGCGTCTTGTACGGAGTCTTTATTCGGCACAGTACGACCGGACACATTTGTGCGAAGGGGCTGCTTAATCAACCTTCCGAGGGCCTCCCGTTCTCATAGAACCCGTGCTGACAATCCACTGGGGGTAGATAAACCAGATACGGTTGATGATTGGGCAAGGTCCCCACCGCCCAAGCGGCCTCGGAAGAGTCCCGGCATGGAGTACTACGAGAGACTCCGTCGCTCAACCGCTGCCAATGCAGCAGCGCGTGCCGCAGCAGCAAAGTCTCCTGGAAACGCTGATCTCGATGTCCCCACTCCAACCATTGAGGACAACAACGGGCAGCTACCATCTCTTGACGGGTTCGACCAGCCTGATGTCAACCAACATCGGCAGCAGCAACCACCCCGTCCACAACCAGGACCAGGCTGGTGATCGTAGGGGAATTGTTGAGGAGGCAAACGCCCGACGGCATGCCAACTGGCAACGGTCGTACTTTAACTGGGCAGGGCTATGCCCTGCGGCCTGGCCCTGCGGGCCCGTGCGTCAGAGGTCTGCCATATGCAAAACTCGGATTCTTACTGTAAAACTACCCGGATAACCATTTTTGGGCGGGGCCCCAGCGCGAAGCGCCTAGGGGGGCCCCGACCTGTAGGATTGCCCATGTCCGTGTGTGCGTGTGTGCGTGTGGCCGTGTGTGTGTAACGGACCAAACATAATATCTCGCCCGGCTGAAACGCGTTATTGGTACTATATAGCATTCTCTATCGCAAGGTATTTCACCTGTAGCCAACAAAAATCGTATGAGCACAAATGAGCACAAACAACTTTGGCTGCCTCAAGTGACCGAGGCCAAACTCACATCAACGCCTCTTGGGCTAAATTTAATCTCAAAAGGTGCCGTGTATCTCATAATTGAATTCTGAGATGACAGCGTATGATAACTTGAACACCCAGCTTGTGTTACCATTTGCCCGCACGGGCATTCCGACTGGCGGTCTGCCGCACTGTCCATGCGGGTCAGCGCAACACAA